TAAGTAATTGTAAGATAATTCAATTTTCCAACCAATGTTCTATACTGCTCAGGATCAAGTATAGGCTCCCCCTGATTCGGTAGAAGTTTAGTATTGTGATCCATGGGTGTATCAATAGACTTTGAACTCATCAACCTAGTTTCCTCCAAAATATCCATGACATACTTTCTCTGAGATATCACAATACCATCATTGGACTGTGTCACCTCAATACCCAAGAAATATCTAAGTTTGCCAAGATCTTTGGTCTGAAAATGATGTTAGAGATGTTGTTTCAGTTGACAGATGACATGGTTGTCACTACCTGTAAGAACGATGTCATCAACATATACTATCAAGTAAACACATCCAGCACTCGAGTGTCGATAAAAGATAGAATGATCTACTTCACACCGAGTCATACCAAATTGTTGAACAACCTTGCTAAACTTTCCAAACCAGGCCCTAGGAGACTGTTTTAGGCCATATAGGGATTTGCAAAGACGACATACCATCCTAGAAGACTCCCCCTGAGAAACAAACCTAGGAGGTTGCTCCATATAAATTTCTTCTTGCAAATCACTATTGAGGAAAACATTTTTACATCCATTCGATAAAAAGGCCATTGTTGAAGAGCGGTCATGGCGATAAATAAACGAACAAAAGCCATCTTTGCCACAGGGGAAAAGGTATCTCCATAATCCAACCCAAAAATTTGAGTATAACCTTTGGCCACAAGATGAGCTTTAAGGCAATCAATAGTACCATCATGTCCAACTTTGATAGCAAACACCCATCTACAACCAACAACAGATTTCCCAGATGGTAATGAGACCAATTCCTAAGTTCAACTATTATGAAGAGCACTTAGTTCATCTAACATGGCTTGACACCAACCAGGATGGGCTAAAGCTTCACAAACAGTTTTTGGAATGGTCACAGAAGAAATAGAGGAAAAACATGTATAAAAAGGTAATGACAGTCGATGATAACTCAAACCAATATAATGGGGAGAGGGATTACGTGTAGAATGGATACCTTTTGGAGGGCAATGGGAAGGTCAGACTCAGGTGTTAGATCCAGAGGAGACAGAGTAGTTGCCACTTGAATGGAGTCACATGGTGGTGGTTGTGATTGGTTTCGACAACTATAAACCTAAAAAGGTGATGGAGAAGAAGCTTACTGTGGAGCAAAAACTAATGTTAAAGAAGACACAGTTAGAGGATCACAAACAACAGGAACATTAAATGTAGTAGGAGTGTTGACAAGATTGGATGGAGACAGAGGTGAAGATTGACTTTTAAAATAAAGAGAGAACTCATCAAATGTGACATTTGTAAACACAAAATAATGGTTAAAAGAAGGAGAAAAACATTTGTATCCTTTTTGTGATCTTGTAAATAGAGGAAATATAGTTTGAGATTAATTTCCCTTGTGTATAAATCACACATAGGATAATTTATTTATAATATAGAAATACAACTAAAAAAGTAACTGAAAGTAACATAATAAATAGAAGATATTGTTTGTTATTGTGGTTAACAATATCTAACAATATCTTAATAATATAAAACAATATCTAAACAATATCTAACAAGTTGCAAAAGTGAGTTCCCTGGTCACTGATGATGGCTTTTGGCACACCAAATCTAGAGAAGATGTTGGTTATGACTAAATATAAAACCACTCGTGAGTTGTTGGAACTGGATGCCTTGGCCTCCACCCATCTCAACATATAATCTACCGCCAAGATAATGTAGTTGCATCCAAATGAGTTCAGAAATGGACCCATGAAGTTAATACCCCACACATAAAAATCTCACATGCTATGATTGGGTGTTGAGGCATTTCATTCCTCATAGTGATGTTTCCAGTGGCCCTTTGACAGGCTTCACAGTTGGCCCAAAATTATGTTACATCTTTGAAAACAGTTGGCCAGTAGAAGCCACTATCAAACACTCTCCTAGTTGTCCTTTGTGGGCCTAGGTGTCCTCCAACTGCTATGCCATGGCCAAAGTGTAGGATGTCCTTAATATCAGCGTCAATCCTTTCGTTGTCTTAGGTTCTTCAAAACCTTCCTCCACCATCATCCAAACACCTTGGGATTTGAGGAGGGTCTTCATCTAGACATTTCATTTATCATAGTTGACATCCTTTGTTAGTCGAGGCATAACTATAACAACATTTGTTAGATTAACCATCTTTATTGAAAAAAACTCTCTCTTTAAAAAACACTCAACAACTCACAACTCTTTTCCTGAGAAACCCTTAGCTCTTGCTCTTCTGAAGAATCCTAGTTCTTCTCACAAACAACCCAGAAAATCCAAACTCTCTTGAGGAACAAAGCTCTCCCTGAGAGCTCTAATACCAATTTGAAAATAAAGAATTTCACAAGAAACTTAGAAACTTTACTTTTATTGATTATTTGTCATACTAAAAACATGTTTACATCTCTCTATTTAACACTCCCAAAATCTTTCTGATACATCAAACATTTACTCCTTATTTAAATACTCTAGAATACACTCCCTACAAACCAAAGAGTTTCTGTTACATCTCTCTAGAATATTCTCTTGAAAACAGGATTACATCTCTCTATTTAAACACTCTAAAAAACTTTTTGTTACATCAAATATTTACTCCCTGCAAACTAAGACTTTTTTTCATAAATAATACTATTTTTAAAAATATTTTCCAAAATAGCACATCTGGAACATTATTTACACAACTAGCACTCTTTACTCTTCACGTATTAAAATAATCAATTATTTTATATTATGATCGATTATTTCGCGCAAGATCAACTCTCGCTCAAGCGAAGAAACCCTTCACTTGAGCGAGGAGATCTGTAACAAAGGGGTAATCTCATGTCAATTCTCGCTCAAGCGACGTGTATTTTCACTTGAGCGAGAAGTGATTAAAATATGTGGTGACCCAAGTTGCGTTATGTGGCTAACTGTGTTAGACGTTTAGCCTGTGGTCAATTCTCGCTCAAGCGATGGGTTACTTCGCTCGAGCGAGAATTGATTGGGTAACTGCGTTGGACCGTGGTTAATTCTCGCTCAAGCGAGACATCCATCGCTTGAGCGAAGAAATTTATAATCAATTATAATTTGAACTAATCGATCATAATTTTAAAATAATCGAATATACAAAATTATGATTGATTATTTCTCTCTCGCTCAAACGAAGAAACCATTCGCTTAAGCGAGGAGAACTGTAACAAATGGGTAATCTCGGGTCAATTCTCGCTCAAGCAACGAGTACTTTCGCTTGAGCGAGAAGTGATTGAAATATGTGATGACCCAAGTTGCATTATGTGGCTAACTGTGTTGGACGTTTAGCCTATGGTCAATTCTCGCTCAAGCGATGGGTTACTTCGCTCGAGCGAGAATTGATTGGGTAACTGCGTTGGATCGTGGTCAATTCTCGTTCAAGCGAGACATCCATCGCTTGAGCAAAAGAGTTTATAATCGATTATAATTTGAGTTAATCGATCATAATTTTAAAATAATCGAATATACAAAATTATGATCGATTATTTCTCTCTCGCTCAAGCGAAGAAACCCTTCGCTTGAGCGAGGAGACCTGTAACAAATGGGTAATCTCGGGTCAATTCTCGCTCAAGTGACGGGTACTTTCGCTTGAGCGAGAAGTGATTGAAATATGTGATGACCCAAGTTGCATTTGTGTGCATCAGAAACCATGTGAGGGAGCATTGGATTCAAACCAATGGACTTCATTATAAATAGACCACTTTCATTCTTTGAAGTTGTCATACCCCTGGTCATAGCAGAAGAACATGTCCCAATGTTGCACGTGCATCTACTTCGCATCATTAGATTGTGTTAGTTAAGAAATGTCTCAATGTATGAAACTTAGGAGTTTTTCAATTAATTGAAAGTGATGAAGATCTTATTGAATCATTTGATAAAATGAAGATCTTGTGGATTTGATGAAGTCAAAGGTTAATATGATGAAGTTAAAGGTTATTTAAGGAACTTTTTGCTAACTGTTTTAATCGATTAAAACTTGTTGTTATCAGTTAAAATAACTTAGAAAGTTTTGTGAAAAGTTTTGAAGAAACTCATTCTGCAGGAGCTGCATAATCCAGGTTTGATTGTTCTAGTTTCTTTTCTTTGTTTTTTTACATTTCTTTACTGTATTATAGGTATCTGGAAGCTTGAGCGAGAATTAACCACAAGCTAAACGTCCAACGCAGTTAACCACAAAATGCAACTTGGGTCACCACATATTTCAATCACTTCTCGCTCAAGCGAAAGTACCCGTCGCTTGAGCGAGAATTGACCCGAGATTACCCATTTGTTACAAGTCTCCTCGCTTAAGCGAAGGGTTTCTTCGCTTGAGCGAGAGAGAAATAATCGATCATAATTTTGTATATTCGATTACTTTAAAATTATGATCAATTAGTTCAAATTATAATCGATTATAAATTTCTTCGCTCAAGCGATGGATGTCTCGCTTAAGCGAGAATTGACCACGGTTCAACGCAGTTACCCAATCAATTCTCGCTCGAGCGAAGTAACTCATGGCTTGAGCGGGAATTGATCACAGGCTAAACGTCCAATGCAGTTAGCCACATAACGCAACTTGGGTCACCACATATTTTAATCACTTCTCGCTCAAGCGAAAATACACGTCGCTTGAGCGAGAATTGACCCGAGATTATCCCTTTGTTACAGATCTCCTCGCTCAAGCGAAGAGTTTCTTCGCTTGAGCGAGAGTTGATCTTGCGCGAAATAATCAATCATAATATAAAATAATCGATTATTTTAATACGTGAACAGTAAAGAGTGCTAGTTGTGTAAATAATGTTCTAGATGTTCTATTTTGGGAAATATTTTTAAAAATAGTATTATTTATGAAAAAAAGTCGCAAACTAAAGGATTTCACAATAATGCTCCTTAATAACATGACTTAGTCTCTAAACGTTCTGTAGTTATCAATTTTAAACCGTTCTAAAACTATGAAAACTTTCTAAAACCGATTATTAATTTTCCTTAACAAAACCTAACAGTTTTCTTCATCAGAAGATGGAGACTGTGGAGACATGCAGGGCAACATTGATACAAGCAAATAACCCCAGAGTCAACTGGGACCTGCCATTAATTGAAGACACATTATTATATGTAGTATTCTAATGCTTATCAGATTTAAAATCACTTGATTTAGCGCCAATATCTTGCGAGGGCGAGGACAACCTAAAGGCTGATCAGAGTCGGGAAAGTTACAAATCTCAACATTCTGTGTCTCTGGTTCGACAGCTGTGTGAAGTCCATTTTCAGAAAGGACGACAGATTGAGTGCCCATGGATTTGCTCAAATTATTTGAAACCCCTAGTTCTCCACACACTATTTTCCAGGAATTAGAGATTCATGTGGTACTAATAATGTTCCATTCTCCTGAGTTGTAGCTGGATGAAGTGGTTGGTCTGCAGCAGAGTTGTTGATATGCTTATCAGATAAAAAATGGTTCTGTAGAGATCCTTCAGGTGGTGAGTTATTTTGTCATCACAATCAGTAACATCCAATTACCATTTTTGTCATTAGAGGTGAGGTATCCAGTCGTTTCAGAAGGAATTTCATTATGATTTTCCTTCAATGTCTCCAAATCATGACCATCTCTAGGTACAAGAAAACGGCAGTCCTCGCCTTCAGATTGGTGATTTTCACATGTGAGATTAGTGTTTAACGACCCACCACTTGCTGGTGTAACCTTTGTTGTATGCTCACAGGAATCGTGCTCCAGACTAAAATGGAAGGAGTTACTGTTAGAGACCAAGTCTAAAAAATATTGGCATAGAAAAACAGTGATACCTTACCAACTTCAAGTTGTTATCATTAGCATCATCCACAGTATCGTTAGAACAAATAATGACATCATCCGCAGATAAAATGCCCGAACAAGTTTTTCTCTTTAACTCAAACAGTATTGAATTCTTGAAGAAAATCATCCATGTGCAACCACCGGCGATCAAAAGGCTTTTTCCTTTTGTCTGGAACAGAAATCATAGCATCCTTTATCACAGCTACAGCATTAGATATGAGAAGTGATAAACGTAGACGATCAGCAAGATATAGAGATACAAGAAGAGTGCATAATGGCTGTATGTAACAAACATGGAACAAGGAGCCGCATTAATAGCCGCTTGAGTACAAAGCCTGGAGATCAGCACCAGCAAAGCCTGGTGTTTTTCTTGCAATGCAATCCACTCAAGCAAGGATCCAGTAATTGGTTTTGGCTTCTTTTGGGTGTGAAGTGAGAGAATGGAAGCTCTGTCCTCAATTGATGGTGATGGAAAATAAATTCACCGGTCAAATCTACCAGGGAGCTTAAGCGCTGGGTCAACAGATTCAGGACGGTTAGTGGCACCTGTAATCACAACTGAACCCCTAGATTTCAAACCATCCATAAGAGCAAGCAATGTTGAGACAACATAAGTATGCAATCCTTTTATCAATGACTGGACAACTAAGGTTTTCCCTGCTCCAGATGCCCATGTAAAAGAACACCTCTTGGAGGTGTAAGCCATAAATTATCAAAAGGTTCAGGATATAAGAGAGGTACAATGACAACTTCTTTCGTACATGTGGCATAGATCAAGTTTTAGGTTTTAGTGATTAATTTAAAGGTTAAAAAAAAAAAATGGGATGTGGTGAGAGGTGAGGAGAAGAGTGAATTGCCAATCATTAATGATAGTATATGATAACAGCCACTACCTCAACCACTCGGGTTCTATCATGGATATCAACACATACTAGGCATCAATGTTTCTTTATTAACCACACGGGGGAAACATTGGGTAAAAGACCCCAAATTTCAGACTGGTTTAGGGTTTAAAGCACTATGGGTTGTATCCAACCCCACACCCCAATTGTTGAATAAGCTTTCAAAAATTATCATATATAAAACATTGAAACAAATTAGTCATTTTGGATGTGGGACTTATAAATTCGATATTTTTTTTTTTTTAATTTGAGTTCTGTTTACAGTATTATTAACTAATCGGTCAATCCGGTCACTTTACGTGGTAGAAGAGGAAATGTGTAAGGAAAGACCTATCAATGATTGGATGGTTTAGAATGATTTGGATGTAAACTAAAGTGAGGATTTTAAATGTAATTTGAATCTGATAAAATAAAAGAAATTTATGAAAAAAAGATAAATATTTTTATTATCTTTAATTATAAATTATTATATATTTTAAAATTTATTTTATATTAAAAACATAATTATGAAAGTAGTTATAATATATTGATAATTATATTTTAAAAAATATTATTATATTGAATTCTTTGATGAATATTTTATTCGTACAAATTATCAAAAGATTTTTTTTAATCTATTATGCTTCCTTACTTTACATAAAATATAAATTAATTATAATTTATTATTCAAATAAATATAAATTATCATATTTACAATGAAGAAATAAATACTAACAATATACTATTATGTAAAAAAAATATTTATTATTATTATTATTATTATTAATATAAAATTATAAAATATGATATAATTATTCATAATTACGTATATTGATCATTATATTAATTTCAAAAGTTATATTTATAATGTTTTTAATTTTACAATGTAAATTCGCAGTAATAATTACAAAACTTCTATAATTAATATTATTAAAAATTTCAGTTTGAACTATGAATAAATTTATTTTTTAAAAGTTATTTTAATTAATTATGCTTTTTAAATTAAATGAAATCAATTTTATTATTTAGTTTTAGTATTATTCTTAATGTTATATTCAGGTTGGAGAAGAAATTGTGATATGAAATAATTTTGAAAGAAATATTTTAAAAATATAGAGAATTTTGTGAATAGAAATTTAATAGAAAAAATTATAGTATTTTCAATTTTAGTTAAAATTTGATAAGATTTAAACATGATTTTATTGATATAATTTGTCAAAAATTTACATAAAAAATAAATTAAAAAACATATTTATTTAATTTTAAAATATTAAAAAATAAAAATAAGATTACTTATAATTTATACTATAAAATTAAATGTATTTAAATTTCATCTATTAAAAGTGCATTTATTTTTTAATATGCATGAAAATTCAAACAGACCAACGATATATATATATATATATATATATATATATATATATATATATATATATATATATATATGATGCATATAAATATATATATATATATATGATATATATATATATATATATATATATAATAATAATAATAATAATAATAATAATAGAAGATTACTCATAAAAAAATTAAATTATATATATAATTTTAAAAACAATAATGTAAAAGTGACTAATTTATTTTTTAAAAATAACTTTTACAATTTAATAATATTTATAAATTATTATAAAATATAAATATGTTAATAAAATATTAAAAGTTCGATTTCAATTTATATATAAATTAATTTTTATTTATTTTATCTATTTCGTTAAATAATTATTTTATATTAAATTATATAATACTGTTATGATGTCCTTTCATCTGTGCACTATTTACTGGCTGAGCGAGACTCCACAGGATCTGTTGTTTGGTACACCAATTTCTTTCCAATCTCAATGGTGGCATGGATGGTGCTCTTTGGATCTTCTTTGGATGAACTAAAGCACCATTATTTGGTGGTTTACTTCGTGACGAGTATGAAGACACATCAGAGTTCTTCAACCAAAAATCTGGGGGGCTAATTAGACTGGTGGAAGGGTAAGGATCAGAGTAACACCTTGTCATCCTTGGAGTTATCTTCAACAAGTTATCAAAGAACCAGCATTCCCCCAGCAGATCAGCAGTTTCTATTTTTTCGTCTTTTGCAAAAAGAAGACTCGCAAGAGTTGTCAATTGGCTCCATGAGTTTACACTTTTCCAACTTTGCCACCCCTTCATGTGTTCTGAACTTATATGGAGGCTTTTGCATCTATAGCCATTGAATTTTTATTAAATTAACTGAATGTTTGTGCACACATATAGGCCAAAGATTTGATTAATAGAAATCCTCAAACTGAGATTGCTTTCGACATAAACCATGTGAGATATAACACCATGTGCTCTAAGATGTCCGTCCTTATAGTCACAATGAGGTTACTGTCCAGAAACCAAGGTGTTATTTAATACAAAAATGGATTTCCCAAGGGCATTTCATGAAGTGAAATAATACTTACGAGATGGATGAGTGCAGAGAGGACAAGTGGGGTCATGGAAAAATTCAAACTCCACAACAAAAATAGGTAGGGACGATTTGTTTGGGATTGGATTTGTCATGCCAGCACATCCTTATGTGCTGTGGTTTTTCTTTATTCAGCCACTTCACATCACTAAACAAGTTAATTTAATCATTGTGTTTGGTATGTTTGACTAATACCACAAGTAATTTGGTTATGGTGTGAAAAAAGGTTTCATTAAAATTAACTCCAAATTTTAAGATTAAAAGCACTATTTAGTACTTCATATTCTTAAAATGACAAAAAACGACCGAAGGGATAGAATTTAGTTAAACGTTTGGTTAAGATTCTACAGCAATAATCATATAGCTAACCATAGAGGATTCAAGGCTGTGGGATTTTGATTATGGAAGCACTTGAAAGTCGAGAGTGCATTGTAGATCCCACGCCAAAACTATATTTCAATCTCAAAGAGGTTATATACAAATGCCGCATCAGCACCAAAAAATTGCCAAGCAATCCAAGCTATGAAACAGTAACCTAATAAAAGAAAGGGCGCTTTGTCATTAATATCAACTCTCTAAGAGAACAAAGGCACAGGTTCTCAAATTTACAGTGAACTGAGACATCCTTGTCAGGGTCAACATGAACTAGTACACCATCTCTAATAACATATTTAAAATTACCCATAGCTGATTCTTCATTCAGTACCGTATCTTCCACTGCAGTTGCATGTTGGCATGCAGAATGAGAAACACATTCAGCTGCCACAGCATCCTTGTCTTGGTTTTCAGCATTACACATTCTCGGGTTCAAACAATCAAGAGATATTCCATGATTTTCATGCCTTGAGGTTTTATTCGATGAATCAATGAAATCTTCAGCAACAAAGCTTTTTCTAACTGCTGAAATAAGATCCACAGATAATGATGCAACAGCATCTTGGGCATCTTCTACAGTCCACTGGTTACTGTTCAACCCCCAATCTCCAACAAGTATTTTTTTTATCAAAAGATGGAGACTGTGGAGACAAGCAGGGCAACATTGATACAAGCAAATAACCCCCGAGTCAGCAGGAGCACTGACATTACTTGATGACACATTATTATCTGTGGCATTCTCATGTTTATCAGATTTAACATCACTTGATTTAGCGCCAATGTCTTGCAAGGGCGAGGACAACCTAAGAGGCTGATCAGGGGCGGGACAGTTCAATATCTCAACAATCTGTGTCTCTGGTTCAACAGCTGAGTGAACTCCATTTTCAGAAAGGACCACAAATGGAATGCCCATGGATTTGCTCAAATTATCTGAAATCCCTAGTTCTCCACGCACCTCTTCGTTATTTCCAGCAATTAGAGATTCATGTGCTACTAATAATGTTCCATTCTCCTGACTTGTAGATGGATGAAGTGGCTGGTTTGCAGCAGCCGCAGCATAGTTGTTGATATGCTTATCAGATAAAGAATGGTTCTGTAGAGATCCTTCAGAGCTAGCATTTCCATTATCACAATCAGTAACATTCAAATTACCATTTTTATCATTAGAGGTGTGGTATCCAGTCGTTTCAGAAGGAATTTCATTATGATTTTCCTCCAGTGCCTCCACATCATGACCATATCTAGGTACAACCAAATGGCAGTCCTCGCCTTCAGATTGGTGATTTTCACATGTGAGATTAGTGTTTAACGACCCACCACTTGCTGGTGTAACCTTTGTTGTATGCTCAGGGGAATCCTGCTCCAGACTTAAATTGAAGGAAATACTGTTAGAGACCAAGTCAAGTCTACACAAAAAATATTGACATAGATAAACAATACCTTACCAACCATGTGTAAAAGCAGTAATACCTTAGCAACGAGTAAGCCCAGTTGTTGACCATATCTTCTAAATAAGCCACTTGTGACAAAATACGAAAATATTGGTATCTATCTTTCCCAGCTTGAATTTTGGTATTGATATTCTCAATTAAGACCTCAAGAACCCTCCTAACATCAAGGGAAACTTCCCTAACTGATGTATAAACACCTCTGTAAGCTGATAAACCAACAGCAATCAAGCCTCTGACTAGACCAGATGCTTCTCTACTTTTAATGCTACCAGAACTACAAGAAACAGACACCTTGTCTTGTGAATTATTAGGACGAATTATACAGGAATTGAAAGGCCAGCCCCTCCAAGGTCCACTTACATCAGCACAAGGACCTTCTTTGAGTTTTGAAGTGACCCAACAAAGTTCAGCAAAATGTGGGTACACGAGAATTTGATAGCCAAGTGTAGATATTGCCAACAACAGGGTTGACTTTCCCTTTAGTGACTTGCTGTTTGGTGTTGGTGGAACTTTTGTAAAGGACTCAAGTTGGATTTGACTCTTTTTATCAGTGGCTGATCCATATTCTTTTCTTTGACATACCTTATCTTTACAATCTTCAATCGATTCATAGGTTGTGGGGCCCTTTTGGCCACCCATGTGAACATGAGATCTCTGATGAATCAATTGAACCATTTGCTCAACTACATTTCTCAATAGCTCTAGTACAGATAGATTGATCACCATGTCACGGTCAAAATTCCCATCAATCTGCACAGTGTATCGAGGAACTGTCTGCTCCAAACTGTCTTTAGATTGATAATTCTTGAAAAATTCTCTTACTTTGCGGGGAAGTTCTGTATAGGGAACTTCTGAAGTAGCCTGTAATAATTGAAAAACAAAATATAAGGATCTATAACCAGTATAAAATATTATAACTTATAACCAAGGATAGTTGACACAAAAAACTAGTAAAATTTTGCCTCACAATGTTGCTGCACAGACATTTGTATCTGAATGTTAAAAGCCATAAGAATTACTTAATATGACAATGAAATTGTATTAAAATATTCTAAAATGACAATTAATAAATCAACATTTAATTTTTTTAAAGGAGCAAAAGCCTATTACTATTGTATAAAGATTTCTAACATTAAAAGCAAGAAAAAAATCCTACCAAAATCATCAAGGATGTGGATACACTAATGGATTCCACCTGCTCAATAAACGACATCCAAGCAAATGAAGCCTTCGTGTTGGCTTGGCCATTGGTCATCTCAGTTGAGTTTTTCTCCGTACTGATCTCACTTTCCTTCTCAACAACTTGGTTTGGTGTGAAACAAGACTTTTCCATCGTAAAACACGAATCAGACCTTTCAGCAATTTGAAAATGTTTCTCCAGAGCCCATAAATCAATTCTTGGCAAAAATACTAAGCAAGATTGCCTGCTAGCACATTTCACTGCCACATAGAAACTAATTGTGAGTATCAGATCCATAAGTGCTACAATTATGACATATTTGAGCACCAGTATTTTTTTAATAGACCAACAAATTCAACTCCTCTCACACTGGCATCTTTCAGTTGATAGAATAAAAAATGCACAATCTTGTAAGCCTAAGGCATGGCAGCAACAGCTTATTTGATATCCAGAGTTATTGTTAATTATCATACTTAGCCAACAGTGATTCCAAAAGTACAGAAATCAACAAAACTAGAAAAAAGAGACATACTTAATATTTGGGCAATCCCCTGCACCACTTCTCCATGCCCTTCTTGTAAAATAGTTGCCATATCAATCTTCTGCATTTCAATATTTCCAATAAAGCAGTGAAGAAGACAAGAAGCAAGATGTCTCTGGCCAGATCGTGGATTTCCAGAAATTAATATCCGAAATCCTGAATTGTTGGTCAATGCAAATAAACCACCACGCATGCCAAGATGGTTCCTTGTGGAGGATTCTAACTTCAAGTTGTTAGCATTAGCATCATCCACAGTATTATTAGAACAAGTAATGCCATCATCCGCAGATAAAATGCCAGAACAAGTAAGCTTTCTCTTTAACTCATAAACAGTACGGGATTCTTGAAGAAAATTATCCATGTGCAACCACCAGCAATCAAAAGGCTTTTTCCTTTTGTCTAGAGCAGAAATCATAGCATCCTTTATCACAGCTACAGCTTTAGATATGGAAAGTGGTAAACATAGACGTTCATCAAGATATAGAGATACAAGAATAGTGCATAATGGCTGCAACAAACAAGGAATAAGTTGGATGGGAAGAGGGGAGCATACTACATCATTAGCAGCATTTCCAGCATCTCTTTGGGAGCAAGGAAGTGGGGAAGAAAAAACAGCCTCTAACCAATCCCTCTCCTCCACTGCAAAGGATGGAAGAGGAATGTGCTTAGAACCAGAATGTTTTTCTTCAGCAGCTGAAGACAAGACTTCTTGCAAAGGGAAATTCCTCTTCAATGCATTAATAGCCGCTTGAGTACAAAGTGCCTGGAGATCAGCACCAGCAAAGCCTGGTGTTTTTCTTGCAATCCACTCAAGCAAGGATCCAGTAATTGGTTTTGGCCACTTTTGGGTGTGAAGTGAGAGAATGGAAGCTCTGTCTTCAATTGATGGTAATGGAAAATAAATTTCCCGATCAAATCTACCTGGGCGCCTAAGCGCTGGGTCAACAGCTTCAGGACGGTTGGTCGCACCTATGACCACAACTGAACCCCTAGATTTCAAACCATCCATGAGAGCAAGCAATGTTGAGACAACAGAACTATGAGTTTGATCTTGCTGCCTAGTGCGGACGGGTGCCAGACCATCTATTTCATCGAAGAATATTATAGAAGGTTGACATTTCTCGGCAACCTGAAATAACAGTCTTAGTTGTCGCTCAGCATCACCAACATACTTTCCCAAGCAATCTGCACCTTTCCGGGCAAAATATGCAATCCTTTTATCACCTCGGGCACATGCTCCTATCAATGCCCGGACAACTAAGGTTTTCCCCGTTCCGGGATGCCCATGCAAAAGAACACCTCTTGGAGGTGTAAGCCCTAAATTATCAAAGAGCTCAGGATATAACAGAGGTAAAATGACAACTTCTTTCATACATCTGATGACATCTTTGAGCCCAGCAACAGATTCCCAACCCTGAAATGAATTTTCTTTGGCAGAGTCTGAACCCCCAATGTACACTGGAGCTATTCTCAATAAATCACGATGAAGCCTTTTGTTCTCACGTTTCAAAAATTCTTCATCCTCTCCACAATTTTCCAACCATCTTTCTTCATCTCCAATATCTTTTTTGCAAGCTTCGTTTGATCGTTTCCTTATTTCCCACATCATTTTCCTAGCCTTCAACTTCTTTATTCTGGCTAAATATTTACTACCATGAGGTTGGAAGAGATGCCGATGATCTGTGCAGGCTATGAGAAATTTACGATGATCAAAGATGCAACCACTGGCTCTGGCACAAGGCTGCAAAACCCAAGATAGAATGTTAATTCCTATCATGGTTGTTATAAAATAATGTTTTTCTTTCTTGTAGTAGCTAAATAAAGGGAGTTCAAAATATCTGTGTTGTTCTTAACAAGAAACTCGGAACCAACCAAGTGATAAGTTCTTGGACAACGATCAACACGACAACCAGTGGTTGCCCCTCGTCTCCCACAGCGTGTGCACTTCAATGCCCTTCCTCGGAATAGTGCAGCCCTCACATTTTTTAAGCACCCAAAGTTGGCAAAATAAACCTGTAAAAGTTTGTCCCAACAAATATTTACTTTAAAAAAAAGTTGACCAAAATAAATGTGAGAGTGTCAACTCCAAGCATCATCAGACTATTATTAAGTTGATAAAATTAAAGAGAAGAAATAAAAGCATTTGCGTTGATGAGTTAGCAATGTCTGCACATTACTATAGACAACATAATTCTACAGCCTTCATTTTTTATTAACATAGCATTCTATATTTTCAGGTCCAAAACAAAGGTCTATATATGTTCATTTGGAATTTGGGACAGACGACAAAATTAAAATGGTGCACACAGAACATAAGAAAAGAAGCCTGTAGAAAGCTTTTAAAACTGTAAAAGCATCTTATCGTGCATCTACAACTAGGGCGAAGAACTGTACAAGAACATAGTTGTTTCATATCCCTTTAATTATATTCCCAAGGAAAAACGGGAACATATTTATGCCACAACTAGGAACTTAAGATGTATTAGTTAATAATAGTTTAGAACTTATTCTGTTTGATTAACGATGACCAGAGAAAGACTTTTAATGTCAAACACATTTTAATAGGTCTTAAAATATCACTGTGATCAGCAAGTCAGTTTGCAATGTTATTTTCTGAAGTCTTACATAAAAATGCACAGTTTCACGATGCAGACCATGTTTCAGAAACTATTAAATTAAAACCGCACCTCTGGACTCCATACAGCACAGTGTAGATGAACCCATATTCTAGCAATACCATGGTGATCATTAATAGGACCCAAGAGGCGCCCAAGCCAACCAGGTTCATCATCAAAACCATCCCAAATATCATAATTAGTCTCCTCTGAAGATGACGACCCACAATAAGCTTCATTCTCACTTTCACCATTATCCTGAGCTAACCTTTTTGGTGGCTTACCATCGCTCCCTCCACCACACAAACCACACCGCCTACCCTCTTTAATTCTCAGGTGACCACGCTTGTCATTTGAAGCATGCTTCAACTCGTCGTTCCTCCAAGCATTTTCATCTTTCAAGACATTTTCTTCGACATCAACCTCCTTAGCAATATTTGCATCTTTCAATGCATCTTTCAATACACTTTCATCATTGTCAACCTCCTTACCAAGGGATCCTTCATTATCTACGTGTTCAGCTGCATTACCTACACTTGTCCTTTCCTTCGCACTCTCTAACTGATAATCCACTTTATCTAAATGTTCCACCTGAGACGAAGACTCAATGTCATGACCACACTCCTCCATTTGCAAATAGTTGGATAAATTCCTCTTCTCATTCTCTAACATGGGAGGAATATTCCCATCTGAATCATCCATCTGATCCCCATCCTCATTTCCTACCATAGAAGGGGCAGTTCCATCCGAGTCATCCATCTGATCCTCTCCGGACAATTCAGTTTCAGAATCCGAATCACTCTGCTCATCACTGCTCGACACAAGCTGCACTTCCTGACTCTTACTCTCCTCCAAACTCCCATGGGACACATCCTCTTCATGCCCTTCCTCGTGCTTTGTGGCTTTAATCCTCCCCGGTCTCTTCGACTTAACCACTTTCGGCATTAAACCTTCCAACTCCTCCTTCGCATCAACCCTCTTTCCCACCACAACATCAAAAAACTTCCTCTTCCCGCCTGGCGATTCCCTCTCCTCCTTTACCCTGAAACCAACATTGCCAGCCCTTGATCTCAACCTAGAACTCCAAGCCCCAACTGAACCTCTATTTTCCCGCCCTGAACTCTTAGGACTCTCCCCACCACGACCAATTCCACCCTTCCCCACCCTCCGTCGTTTCTTTGGCGGAGCGGGAGATGCGTCGAGCAGCACCGGGGCCCGGCGAACCCGGGAGCTCCGACGAACCCCTGCATCAGCGTCCAAACCATCATTATCCTCATTCAGCTCACCATGGTTTCGAGTGTACTCGTCCTCACATATTGCATCCAACCTCTTGTGCTTCTTACGAAGCCGCAAACCCGATCGAGATGACGAACCCAATGAAGACGGCGATGATCGCATGACCACTAAGCGGGAGAATCACCACACGGAAAAATTAGAAGAAAAAATTATATGAAAAATGCAAAATATGGAAAATGAAAAACGAAAAACGTTTATGGCTCTCTCGATAACTAGCAAATGGGCATTTGCCGATTGTCTTCTCCTTCCAATTGGGTGTTCCAATGTGCTCCGATTCGGAAGAAAAACGTCGCCGTTGCGGCGTTGCCTTAGTTGGTCCAAGGAAGGAGCGAAACCGAAACCCTAGAAATCGAATCAGCGACGTATCTTCTTGGACGGGTTTTGGTTCGATTAAAGGGTGTTTTCCATTTTCCGGCGAAGATTGAGTTTCTGGGATTTGGGTTCCCAGAGTCTCTTCGTTTTTTCAGTGCTTTCTTCCCTGAAATTTGTTTTCTGTGCACAGAGAGACTAGGGCGTGTAAGAGTGAAAAATAAGAGGGTTTTGGCTCTGATATTTGTATACCTCTACACACACGCGAGATTCTTCAGTGATTCACACGTGATTGTTATGTGTGGGTTGAAGAAACAAGGACCCTTGATTTGCACAGAAATGAAAGAATATGTGTTTCACGCGCTCGATGAAGAGTTAGGATGTGTGTGAATAATGTATTTTTCACAAATTTTCTTTTAATTTCTTTTTTTCTCCACACAATGTTGCCGCCAATATGCAAGTTTGCATGACCCCAAATATAAAAGCAAAATTGGGAGGGTATCGGGGTTTTGCATGAAATGTTAAGATTTTGAAAGGGCAACGGCTCTTTAGAAATTTAAATATTTGGAATTTGATACTTTAGTGGGGACAACTATGCTATGGTGAGTATTTCTCCTCTCTGTCTTTTTTTTTTTTTTTTCACTTCTCAAATTTTAGCTTTTAAAATATAATTGTAACATTAAGACAAAAAGCAAACGGTAACTGATTCATGGTTTTGGGTTTGGTACGTATTATAGCACCTTAGAGGGTGAGAATAAAAAGGAGTTAGATGACCAGCTCCAACAAATTTGAGTGACACTTTTTCACTTGGCAGCGGATACTTTCTGTCCATTCTTACAAAATGACAAAATTTCAATAGAAAATAGTTTATTTTTTTATTTATTGCAACTTTTGTACTTGATTTTGTGATATGTTTGGATATTTTATATCTTGAAAATAGTTTATTTTTCTATATGTTACCTTATATAGATTATACATAATATTTTTATTTGTAAAATTTTACTTGAATTACGTATGCTTACTTTGACCATTTTAATATTTTCCCAATGACCTATAATTTTTATTTTTAACATATTATCAAAAGTTAAAATTGATCGTTATAAATACAATGTTTTTTCACAGTTAGAATATTTTGAATATCAATTTGGACTAAAAACTAATGTTTTTATATCTTTTTAATGGTGTTTTTTTTTCTCTTTGAATTTGTTTCAAATTTTAGTTTTTGCTTTTGACATGTAATTAATATAAATTTCACCCATTTTTCAAAATATTTTAATTTTTTACAAAATTCACAACTTTTTTTAAAAAATCTATACTAAAATCAATATTTAAGAAGTCAAAATAAAAAGTTAAAATTTACAAACTAAAAAATGTTATTATTATATATAATAATTATTCATAATTAAGATTAAAAAAATAATATGTTCTTAATATAAGTCTAATTTATCTTTATAAAATTAGTTTATGGAATAAGATTTGCATCTTACTAGTATAAGATTTTGAACATTGTCAAGTGGTGAAATTTGATTCATTTCCACTGGCACATTTTTATTTTTTTTATAACCCATCTTATCCCCGAGAAATGTTCCTGGTAGAATTCGAACCTAATACCTTAAAATTAGAGACCGATACTCCAACCACTAGGCTACTAGGATTTGATAATAATAATTTACAAATAAATTATATTTATATACAAATAAATGTATATTTGTGTAAACGGTTGCGATGGATGACCAAACTCCCATGTTTTTGTAAAATTATGTAGTCAACGCTTTTAGGTTGTCCGATAACCGGGCTGAACCTAAAAGCGAGGTTTTCGTAAAGGGTTTTATGGAGTCGTCACTAATATTTTTACCATAAACATCGGAAAAGGAAGAAAAGAATATGTTGGTTTAGAAAACCAACTTTGACCTTACAACCAGAGTTGGGTAAGGAAGTTAGTTACGTGTGAGGAAGGTGTTAGCACCCCACAACGCCCCTTTCAGGATCCCTATGATGGACTAATTCATATAATAAAGACTAAGAAAAATTATGCTTCTACCCTATTTATTTATCTACTTTGCAGAATTTTAAATATCTACATGGCCCTAGTATCTAATACATACAAAGAAAGCAGTAAAAGAGAAGAGATATGAAGAAGAACCTCCGAAGCGAACTTTTATAAATCTTGAACTTAAGGATGCTTTTTGGCAGTCCTCGCACTCTACAAAGACACTCCTCCCTCGAATAAAAAATAAGAATACCACACTACCAAGCGTCGGATGTAACATCCTAAATTTTGCAACCAATTATATAAATAAATTTTGTAAGTTATACATATGTACTGAATATTATGTAGAGTTATTATAAAAATAAAACATGATTTTTGTTTATAGTAATTTTATCTTAAGAAAATTATAAAATAAAATTCAAGGTTAATATTGTGTCAAATAATAATTTATTAATAATTTTTAATAATAAAATTAAATAAATGAATAAATAAATATTTAAGAATTTAATACTATAAGTAAAAATTATTAATAATGAACTTATTTATTATGTAAACTTTCTATGAGAAGAAATTAAAAAAAATTAAAAAAAAAACACGAAAAGAGAGAAATAAAAGTCAAGAACCAGTATTTTTTGATCAAGTTGGTGGAACCTTTGAATTGAGTCGGTGAAATAAGGCGATGGAGAATAAAACTAAAGAAAATTCGAGAAGGAGTATAAGTCGGTAAGATAAGTGTATAAATAGGAGGAAATTTGAAACTTACTTACACAAAAACACGATTCCCGCAACTTGAAGAACTTGTTGAACATTCAAGGACTTGATGTTGAACTTACATGGACATGAAGCTTGTTGATTTTGATGATGATTCAAGAACACAAGACTTAGAGAGTTGAAGACTCTTTTATAGTGTAATAACTTTGTTTTGATTAGTTTGAGTCTCGTAATATTAGAGTTTAAGATAGCTCGGTATATAGTCCGCACTTTAGAAGCTTCAAAAACTCAAATTTATCTTTTTGCCTCGGCTTTAATCGATTAAATGGTCAAATAATCGATTATTACGATGAGAAAAATCATTTTCACGTATCTGTTCACTGTAATAATCGATTAACACACCTGTTAATCGATTAACAGGCCTGTTAATCGATTAACAGGCCTGTTAATCGATTAACAGGGCTTTTAATCGATTAAAACGAGTGAGTTTTGGGGTTCTGTTGATTTTGGCTCGTAATAATTGATTAACACTTCGGTTAATCGATTATTTCGATCGATTTTGATTTTCAACTTCAAATCAACCCTATTTTCGAAAACCCTAATCCCAAGACTCCTAGTTCGAAATTTCCAATTCCCAAACCCTAATTTCTCTACTTAAGCTTCTCTATGGCACTCAGAAAAGATGAACAACCTTTTTCAAACAAAAGTTAAGTGTTGTGAGTGCCAGAGAACTGTTTGTTGGAGGAAAAAGGGGCTTTTGGAACCTGGTGTGGGCTAAAAGCGATAAGAATCACTAAGTGGAGTTCTTAGTGGATTGTGTGTTGTGCCGTCTCTGGGGAAAGCTGTTCTTCATCTCTTGTGGGTTTCAAGAGAGGTGTTTTCTTTACTTTGTATTTTCAATTGTTATCTGTTTGTAACAACTTTAATTATAGTGACAGCGTTAATCCTCTGTTTGAGTGATTAGCAACTGGACGTAGGGTCTTTTGATCCGAACCAGTATAAATCTCCTGTGTAAGATTATATCTCTACTCTATTTACGTTTACACAGTATTTTAATTGGTAAAATTTGGGGAAAATTTTTAAAACCTAATTTTTGTTAAGAAACCAATTCACCCCCCCTCTTGGTTTTTGTCCGACCACGCGAACATTCCGCTGCGTGATTCTAACAAGTGGTATCAGAGCTTGCTTTGATAGTCATTCAAACTTTTCGAAAATGGTCGGACAAAATCAAACTTTTGCCGAAGGTGCGTCTATCAACAGACCCCCACTTTTTGCGGGTCAAAATTATCCTTTCTGGAAGGTAAGAATGCAAATCTTTTTAGAGTCTGTTGATAGAGGCGTTTGGGACACTATTTTAAACGGTCCATATGTTCCTAAATTTACTGAGAACAGTGTTGACGTTCCCAAACCTTTTTCTAGATGAACAACAGAGGAAAACAGAAAAGCACAATTTGACGTTAGGGCTAGAAATATAATTTCATCTGCTTTAACCCTTGACGAGTTTTACAGGATTTCTATTTGTAAAAGTGCTCAGGAGATGTGGGAAATGCTAAGAGTGACCCACGAAGGTACTGACGACGTTAAGAGAGCACGAAAAAATTCCTTGATCCAAGAATACGAGATGTTCCGGATGCAACAAGGTGAAACTATATTCGACGTTCAAAAGCGTTTCACTCATATTGTGAACCATCTCACCGGATTAGGTAAAATCTTTGACGTTGATGAATTGAATGTTAAAATTTTAAAATCTTTGGATAGGAAATGGCAACCTAAGGTGACGGTCATCTCGGAGTCACAAAACCTTGTCACTATGTCTATGGCGGCGCTATTTGGAAAGCTAAGAGAGCATGAGCTAGAACTTGGAAGGCTAAATGAAGAAGAAGGACAATATCAAAAGAAGAACTTAGCCTTCAAAACCGAAATTTCCAAAGGTAAAAATAAAAAGGAAGAAGAAGACTCGGAGAATGAAGAAGAAGAATTGAGTCTTATGATAAAGAAGTTCACCAAATTTATGAAAGCCAAAGGAAGACATCCATTCAAAGGTAAGGGAAAGGTAAGGGAAAGGTAAGAGAAGGTACTTCCATAAATATAAAATGTTATGGTTGTGGTGAAGCATGACATGTAAAGACCGAATGTCCAAATAAGAATAACGAAGAAAATAAAAGCAAAAAGTTCTTCAAGAAGAAAGCTTATATTGCTTGGGACAACAGTGATTCAAGTTCGGAATCAAGTGACTCGGAAGTAGAAGTAAATATTTGTTTAATGGCAAATGACAACATATCTTCCGATTTTGAGGTAAATGATTCCGACTCATCTTCTAGTGATGATGATAATAACTATGATGAACTGCAAAATGCATACAATGAATTATTTAGTGCCTTTAAGAACTTGAAAAATGAATATAAAGTTGTAGAAGAGTTTAAGTAGATTCGAAAAGGAAATTGACTCATTAAAAACGAAAATTACATGTTTAGAAGAAAAGGAATCCTTAGAAATGAAAATTTTATGTTTAGATGAGAATGATGATAAGAACTTAGCATGTGAAACTTGTAAAGAGTATGAATATGACATAGATATTCTTAATCATCTACTTGACAAAGCCGAAAAGGAGATGGGTGATCTTAAGAAGCATGAAATTGTGTTAGCTCAAAATAGTGTAAATCATCACGTTCCTTTGAAAAGAGTATGG